TTGTTTTCATCATTCTTAATAAAATTTTATTACCTGTTGAAATTTGTTTTAGGAAGAATGAAAATATCCAAATTCAATTAGTCTCATGACAAATAGCATATCCATGATAGTTCTCTCTAACTAAAGTAATCAGCAGAGAAAATAAATGTGAGGCTCTGGACAGGTCCAAACCCTCGCTAAAATTCGCGGAAAATAATTGTTTTAGAGAAAAAAATATGTTAGTTAGAAATAGATTTTTATTATATGAAAACGCAACGCTAACTTTTAAACAATAGAAGAATGTAAGTCCGTTGATCATTTCCGGTTGGAGATCGAATTAAACTTCGATTTTGACCTCTCCCGCGCCCTCGAAAGGTTTCGAATTGTCATCAGGTGACGACGGGAGACCAATCGGAAAGGGGAATCTGAGAGAAAACAGATAAAACCCCGGAAATTCGAGGACGCGACGGCTTCTTCTCCCGAAAGTTCCTAGTGACGGATCTGTTGTTGTGTGTGTGTCTCGCACCCATCTTTGTCTCCATCTCCCGACCTCGGATCGACATCTTTCCCTCAACGGAAGTCGACCGCATTGTCCCTGAGTCGTCGAGACGTGATGGAATTGTTCATTCTCGAACAAGGGACACTCCTTCAAAATGGGACTATCGTGGAACCACAGGAGAGGAAGACCCAGCGACCGCAGCCGACGCAGAACTACCAAGATCGCGGACATCTTGTAAGCTTCTTTCGTGTTTAATAAACGGTTGTGTTGTTTGTAAACGAAGCATCTATCTCTGACTCAACTGCTTCCACATGTCGTTGATTGTTACCACTCGGCAATCCAAACGGCAAGGGAGACGATGACGATATATATCACATATTATCGTTCATCGAGTTTTTTTCTCTCCCCCCTTGGCCCCGCACATAAACATGAAAACATTTCAGATAAAACAAATAGTCTAATCCCCAAACTGGATCAGCATAGTAAATCATTGAGTTTATTAATGAATTATATAATTTTATATGCAAGTGCATATTTGAAATTTTTAGAGCTGAGTACAAATATAACAAGTTATTGGTTATTACCTTCACCTTGTTATTCAGTTTAGAAATGTGATCTAAAGCTGCCATTCCAAGCAAAAGTCATTCCCTGGTAATCAGTTTCCTTTATTATTTGGAGAGGTAAATTATCAAGGTATAACTTGGTTTCTTTTTTCTGAAGTTTTGCTATCATTTCAGAAAATAATTATTTTTGTTTTGTCTCAGTTTATTGTTAAGTGTAATGATTTGAGATATAAATTAAGTTGGTTGATTTTCCTTTGCAGAGATTTTTGTCAGTGCCTTGAAGACAAAATCATCTTCAAATAAAATATAATGGAAAGTTCTGTTAACAGTTTCAATACCATCAGTATGAGTCTCGATAAAGTTAGTTAATGTCAGTTAAATAAAAATTAAATAAATAGAAAGTGGATTGCCTAGGATTCCTCATGATAACATAAGTGAGGAAGATCTGACATTTCCTTGTATGATATTGATACCATATTCTGAGACTAACTTAAGCACAGTAGAGGAAAATTTTTCTCCAGTTCCTTTAATTCTCAAATTTTCAACTAAAAGTGGTACAAATATTATATCAAAAGATTTCTGATATCTATGAAAGCTGTATAGTTTCCCATGCGTTTTTACCAAATCAAGTTGAATTAATAACAACAGAAAAATAGCTAATCTTATATGTCTATTTCTTACATAGAATATTGAAATTTAGATTCTAAACCTATTTATTTAGTTTTGTTGAAATTTTTTTAGCTAAAATTGCCATAAAATATTTTCTTACAGTTGAAAGGAAGAATATTTGTTGGGAATTTTTGGAAGAAAACTTATCTCCCTTTTTAAATATCATATAAAGTCAAATGGAATTCCATGAAGCTGGATAAGAGTATAATAGGATAAGTACTCTTGGTGTAGTAGTTTGAGAAATTTATTCAGAATGTGATCATTACCCAGTAATGAATTAATGCACATCTTGTTAAATGAGTTGGTCTAATTCCTTTATTGTAAAGATGGAATCCAGATATTCATTATTGACTAACCTGAAAGTTAATGATGATTGGATGGGTGAAGTTCTAGAAAAGCATCCATGAAAGTTTAACCATATATCAAAATTTATTTCTGGAAAATTACTGCTGGAGTCAATATTGAAATGAAATTCACAAATTGTTGACTGAAATAATTTGTTATTGGGCTACAATTTAAAAAAAAAATTGTAGACCTATAAATTTCTACTGTCATCCATCTGTCTTTCCTTAATCTTGAAAATGGTGTTAGATAGTAAATCTTTATCCATCAATAATCCAAATCCACCAAGCAGAGAAATAATTACTTAGTCACTAACCACCTTATAACTGCTGAAAAATCTTTATTTAAAGATACATAAATGTTTTCAGTCTTTCTATAGGCCACCTTTAGGTGCAACCATTTTGGAATACTGATCATTGAATGTTCCAAAACAAAACATCATAAAGATAAAATTTTAAAATGTTTATGTTTAAGTAAGTATATTTGTATTCAAATACAATGGTAAAATGTAATATCTATAAAGATATTACACCTTTCCAAAAAGATAAGCATAACATAAAATATACCAACAAAATAAACTAAATATATTTCTTGGCAGTTATAAGGTGGTTAGTGACTAAATATCTTTATCTATCAGTAGATGACTTCTGTGGATCTTTATCCTTCAATGAGTTCAGTTATTAGTTTAGTATTAGAAGGAGTGGAATAATTTCTCCTGTTGTTTGATTTAGTTTGACTCAACAGGTCTTTCACATTTTGCTGAAGATCTTTGTATGGAACCAGGATTAGGTTCCATTCCAAACATGAATAAAAGAGTTTGTATTAGATTAATATTATCTTCTTTTCCTGGTTGAATACATTTAAGAAGCACCATCACAAAGAAATCCTTCATGTCATTGAAGTCTGAAACAAGTGCATTAGCAGCTTTGGAACTCACAAACCCCTTAATTTAGAAAAATTAATTAAATAGGATTTAAAATGTTTATAATCAACTCCTCAAAACTGCACACAACAATTAACACCTCAATACTACTTCCAGCAGTCAAAAGATTTTTTAATACTCTAACGTTTTCGGCCGTCTTTTAGAGGCCCTCTTCAGGATGAAACATTAAAAAACAGTTCTATCTTTTGAAGGATTCTAATAATCGAATACAGCTGTGTTCCGAACTTTTAAATATTTAAACGATGCGTAAGATATAAAAATCGTTACNTGAGAAAGAAATCCCTTAGCTCACAAAAACATGGTTCCAATCGAATGGAAGGGAACATCGATACAAAATCGAATACAGTAAGATATTCGTTCCCATTTAACTTTAAATTGTGGAGTTTGGCGAGTAGTGCGTTGGAATCGGACACAGTCAAGCCGTATGAGTTAAGATGATTTTGCAATAAGTGATGTATACGTTTCTCCAATATGAAAGTGGGAGATCTGGCTTTATCGATCACAGGTCTTAATTTATGCCCGGGTTTGTGTGTTTTGGCAAAAGCGAAAAGGCGGGGGGTGTCAGGGGAGCTAACTACCGCATTTTGAAGGCCTAAGATTGTGGCAAGGCCAGTGCGCGTGAATCTACCGACACGACTTTGCAGCCTCGTTGTCAGCAAGTTGACATTGCGTGTCAACTATATATTGATGTAATGCGCTGACATATGTTGCCCTTAGCATGATGACGACTGCCTTGCTTTTATCAGATTTGACCATTGTGATGTTATTAGATTGGAGCCATTTCTTACTGCGTTTGATGTAACTCCAGAACTTGTGTACTTCGGGTTCCGGCTTGTAACTTTCAACTGCCATCAACGCCTTCCATCGAAGATAGTCCTTGCGGGTGTCCGGAAACTCAATATTTGCTCTGGAAAGTAATTTCTCTATGCTGGGAATGAAGGAAAACGGGTTTGCTGCAGCCGACTGAGGCACAAACATAGGACCAAATTCGAACGCCTTGCGGAAGTAATCTGGAGGAGATATGCTGTCCCAACAAGTTATAACGTTATTGAACTGAGGTTTAGGACGTCGCTTTTGTATTTTTAATATCCAGCTGAGCTTTTTATCATATGAACCCAGGGTTTCCCCATGTTGGGACGAGGCTACTCTTTTACATAGGGCCTTTGACCGACACGACTTACACTCGTTGGAGGCTATTGAGATTTATAGAGAAACCATAAAGGGAAGCTGCATTAACTCCGATTATATTCCGATTCCACAATCGTGGAAATATTATTTACATTGCCACAAGGCACAACAATAATCGGAAGTTTAATTATTTCTAATCTTTCTGCTATGTATAAGAAATCAAAGCGTTTACATCACGCTAATTTTCACAACTATATAATAATATTTGATGTATAGCAGTATTTACACCACGCTAATTTTCACAACTCTACAATAATAATTTATGTATAGCGTTATTTTAAAATAATAATTTTTTGTCTTGTAAGCGTAACGATTTTTATATCGTATGCATCGTTTAAATATTTAAAAGTTTGGAACACAGCTGTATTCGATTATTAGAATCCTTCAAAAGATAGAACTGTTTTTTAATGTTTCATCCTGAAGAGAGCCTCTAAAAGATGGCCGAAAACGTTAGAGTATTAAAATCTTTTGACTGCTGGAAGTAGTATTGAGGTGTTAATTGTTGTGTGTAGTATATCTTTCCAGTTTACGTGTGTTAATTTTTTATCTCCTCAAAACTGGATATACATAATAAACAAACCAATTTCCAGCATAAATTTGTAAGAAAGCAAACATTTTCAACTGTGTTTATTTTCTTATAAATCTGTGCTGAAAATTGGTTTCATTTGCTTTGTTTAAAATGTTTATTTGTGTTACTAAATAATCTTTTGCAGATTATTTTTTATCAAAATATTTTAGAATAAATTCTAAAAATTATACTTTATATTACACAAAAGTATATTTAATAAAATAAGTATATAAAAAATTCAAATATTACCTTATAATAATCTGTTATTTGTTTTTGTTCTTTCTCTTTAATTTCTTGTTGTTCATTATCATAAATTTCATTTAATGCTTCTTCATATTCCAAATGAAATATTCCTTTTGATAAACTTTTCTAAAAACATATTTTCAGTACATGAACAATAATTATATCAAAATTTATATTTAAATTTTCAATATAAATGAAACAAAACAATATTTTTATATCGAAAATTTACTATATTCTGTCAAACAGAAAAGCTATATGAAAAAGTATTCTTTGAATTACTTATACAGGATGATCATAACCTCTTTCAACAAAAAAGAAGACACATCAAGATGAACAATATTTGCAATGGAACCTATGGCTGCATTCCACTCATAGTGCCAGAAAAAAATGAGTTTGAGAAACATCCAGCATGCACAAGTATGTATGAGAAGCACAAGATGCAAATCAAGTCAGTGCATAGATGATTAGGAGCAAACATTTGAAAATGCAGCCAAATCCATTCATCAATAAGGTACCATGATAACATTGCAGGATAATTGACTCATTCATGAAGGGCATGGAGATCTACACATACAAGGAATTGGTAGATATGCATCTGGTTTATGGCCAAATAGGTGGTAATAGATGTGAAGCACAAAAATTGTACTGTGAGAGATTTCTAAATCATCATATTCCTTATTATTCGACCTTCACCAGTGTTGATTGAAGACTGTATGAAATTGGCTCATTGGCTATCTCAATGAGGAATACAGTTGACCCCCCTGTAATACGGGTTCCTATAGTTCGGATTCTTATATGACGGCGAAAAAATTGCGACGGTATCCGTACAAACATGGTAAAAAAAACTCTTATAATTCGGTAAAATGTCATCGGGCAGCCAAACTACTTTCCACCATCCAGCGCCACACTACGGAGAGTTTAGGCTGGTAAATTGAGTTTACTATCGTCTGTACAGTATTATATATAAATTGGGTACTGTACATATAATTATATATTAATTATATATAAATTAGGTACTGTATATATAATTATATATTAATTTAATTTTAACTTAATTTATTGTAACTTTATTATAATTATAATATATACTTTCCGCCATCCAGCGCCACGCTACAGAGAATTTAGGCGAGTAAGTTGAGTTTACTATCGTCTGTACAGTATGTAAATTAGGTACCGTAAATCTAATACAGCACTAATTTTATACATTTCTTGTGAAAGAAACATTTCTTATTCAATGTCCATAAAAATTATTTATATTAATGATGTCTCCAAAGTTCAATGAAGTTTTCGCAGAAAAATAACTTATCAGAAAACGCGCCCACCGTTTGGTGCGCTGCTCCGCGACGAAAACAAGCTTAAGCAATGGCGACGTCGAATGGTGCACACTCGGTAAGTAATCCTACAATTTTTTGTTTATAGCATAGTTTATACGGATTATTCCCAAAAAATTATATGTGTTTTGGAAATGTTGAGTCAAATTAGTCAAGAATCGATTAATTTTATGGAAGAAAACCTTTCAAACAGCCGTAGTCCGTAAACTTCACACATGTTGGGCTGTGATTGGCAAGGTCTCCTAAAACATCAATTTCATAAAAAACGGAACATATCTACTGTGTTATAGGGGGGTCGACTGTATTGTACTGTACAGCTGAAAAATGTGAAGACACCATAAATGGAAGAACATGTCTTGCAGTGATTTGCAGAAATTCCTTCCACAAGTATGCAAGCGGTGGCATCTGAAATGGGTGTTTGTCAAAATTTGGTGTGGAATGTTCTACATGAAGCATGTATGTATCCCTTCCACGTGCAGAAGGTCCAAGCTTTGAACGAAGATGACTATCCCCATCTGGTATGGTTTATTAAGTGGATGTTCCAGATGAATACTGCTAATCTGGGATTTTCACATTGGTGTTATTCAGTGATGAGGCCACATTCACCCATGAAGGCATTTTCAACAGTCACAACCAGCATGCTTAGGGTCAAGAAAATCCACATGTCACTGACCCTCATAAACACCACCAGAGATTTGATCAACAACTAGACAGGTATTCTTGGTGATTGTCTGGTAGGACCTTACCTCTTGCCAGAATGTCTGACCAGTATACTAAGTGTTCTTGAAGCAAGTATTTCCCAGTTTGTTGCGGGGTGTTCTGGTCACTACACAGAGGAACATGTGGTTCATGCATGATGGGACCCAGCAAACTTTTCCACCGAGATTCAATACTTCCTCAATGCAACATATCCTGGGTGATAAATTGGACATGGTGGTCCTGTGGCTTGACCTTCATGCTCCCTGGTCCTTAATCCACTGGACTTCTGGGGGCACAAGAACATTTTGATGTATGTGACACCTGTGGAAGATCTCATCGCAAGAATTGTTGCTTTGGACAAGATTAACACCACATCAGGAGTCTGAGAGAGTGCAACAGTCTTTCATTTTCTGGTATTGGCTGTGCAATGTCGACATCCTCAGATACCAATTTTCAGTCTTTCTCTAATGCAAATGGAAATGTGAAACTCCAAAAGTGGTTAAGTCTCTTTCACTGTTGAAGAATCAACATGGAAATGTAACTTTACTCTTTTCTAACATTATGAATGGAATGTAGCCCTAGGTTCTATTGCAAATATTGTTTATCTTGATGTGTGCTATCACCACTCTTTTTTTATTGAATGAGTTTATGATCACCCTGTATAGTAGCCAATACTCTTCATATATCATTATTGTATTCTTTTCTGTATCTTTTAAAATTTACCTTCACACTATTGTTTATCTTGATGTGTGCTATCACCACTCTTTTTTTATTGAATGAGTTTATGATCACCCTGTATAGTAGCCAATACTATTCATATATCATTATTGTATTATAATAAATTAAACTTACTCTAGTTTGAACACTTAATTCCGATCTTCTAGTCTGTTCTTTCAGTGTCGGTCGAAGTATATTTATTAAATTTGATGCCACTTCCTTCGAAAGCCTAAATAATCTTCTAAAATGTTCTTTGTAAAGATCAAAGGCATCTACTCGTGGTCGAAAAATTCGTTGCCTTCTCAANTATTGTTTTATGTGGGGGTGGCACGTCAGCAGGTACTGCATAAATTTGTGTTCTACTCAAACAGTCCCAGATAATTGCCTGGGCACTTATAATTGATAAAAGCTTTAAAACACATTTAAAATGTTTTACTATAATAAATAACATTTTAGTCTAATATTTCTATATGAATATGTAGCGCAAAATTTTATTATACTATATTGAGTACACTACTTGGGGAAAGCAGATTCAAGTCAGGATATTATCCACAGTGAGTAGCATTCAATTGTTCTTTATGTTTGGAATGTCAGAAGCTGAAAAAAGCATGCTTCTTTGTTGACTTAAGATCAGATTCATTGACATTAGGAATGTTATACAACAAAGTGATTTTTTTTGAAGAAATACAGTGATGAGAAGCTGCTATTTTTCATTTTACTAACATGAAAAAACCTCAGAAAACTCAATGTTGCCAGTCTATTATAAATGTGCAAACCCACAACCAAATACAGTGTTCAGTGGTTTTATTCACTCAGCCACTGGTGGTCACTTATTGGAATTAACAAACTAACATTCATAAATGAAAAAACCCAAGCTGTTAGATGTGGAAAATTAAATAATTACATAGTTTTCACAGTATAACACTTTCAACTTGAAGCATATAAGTGATCTGTGTTAGTATCGCAGTAATTAAACAAATATGCAGTCCCTTGCCAAATTATTAGACCCATCTACTATAATCATACTTTTTGTACTATTTTCTTCTTTTTTTGTAATATTGTTTAAATGATGAATATTTTTTTATGTTATTCTTATTCTCTATTATATCAGAAACACTTCTAATAAATTTTTTTTTATACAGCAACATTGTAAATGTAAGAAAAATCAACTTTCTACTACAAAAAGAGAACTGATAGAGGTTCTTATTAAGGTATGGTACAATATCCCAATGATGACGAGAATAAAATAAAAAATAAAAAAAAAGAGTATTTCTTGTCATATAAAAGCACTACTAGATGGTAAGGATGGTTTTACAAATACTAAGTTTCGTTTTTAATTTTTTTAATTTTATTATATTGAAGTTTTTGCATATAAAAGCTTTCTTTTTATTTAAAAGACAAAATAAATATAAATAGATAGCTATTATTTGTGGATATTTCTAGAACTTTCTTGTTTGTTTCTGGTTATTATTTACTTTATTGCATAGAGGGGCAATAAACTCAGTGGGAGTGGAGGGAGAAGTGTATATAATAGATGGACAGAAGAAAACAAACATTTTTATGTATGTAGAACAGGGGTCGCCAAACTTTTTTGATCGTCGACCCCCTACAACTTTTCAAAACCTCACATCGACCCCACCAAGCAAATAGTAAGAGTTTTTTTTGCTTGTGTTACAAGCAAAAAATCTCTTACTATTTTAATACATTTCTTTTAATTTTACATTTTTTTACATTTATTGTATATATGTGAAATACTAAAATTAAACAAACAGCAGCTTAAAAATGGCTGTAGAGATGCTAATAACATCAGTGTATTGCAAATCAGACACAAGCTTACAAATGCTGCAGATGCTTGACATATACTATATAAGTAAGAACCTGAACACGGACTTGGCAATTTCCGTCTGTCCTCTGTGACTTGAACCATAGCCAATTTACAGATTGATAGGTAGCTGTGTGGCGAAACGCCATATTGAATGCCCGCTAGCCGTAACTCTAGTGTTTAAGATTCTTCTTTGTGTTCTTTGTCCTCTCTTTTCTGGATTTTTCCACCCTTCACTTCCTGTTCGTTGGAGGGGGGCAACACCGTTATGAGAACGAGGCCAGGAAAGGAGTTGGGCCCCGAGGTAAACGGGGGAGACTCATTCACGAAGTAGACGAAGAAGCGAGCGGACGGACATTTAGGACCAGATTCATTCTCGAAGTAGACGAGGAAGCGAGCGGACGGACATCTCGGACAAGATTCATTCTCGGAGAATATAAGGACAGTGGCTGAGTGATTCATCGAGGGAAGAACAGAGAAGATTCCGACCGAGAATTATTTGTATCGTCGAACTGAAATACAGTTTCCCTCTCCAACAGGAAGATATCACATCCAACTATTTCGGGTACCCCCTTTCTCTAACCTTTCTATACGTTTTCCTACCTGTGCTATACTATCATCCTTCCTTAATTTAATGTTAGCTTGTAAGATAGTTACAACCTTAGTAATTAAGTTGGTCATTGTGCTCTATTGTCACGAACCTACCTTCGATGTGTAACACCACATGCATAAAGCCTTTGTTTCCCAATGTACACGTGTGAGGTCGAGTAGGGATCCGATTTACTTAATTTCACTATTACCCCACAAATTTTAGTGGGAGCTTATGTAATTTTCTTTTGTGCACGAATAAATCCTGTATTTTCCCACATTTTTGTTTTTTTTCGTCCTTTCGGGGCTCCGTGCACATTTAATATCTTAACAGCTGTACTATTAAATTCATTGAAACAATATTCAAAAACATAATAATATGTATAGTTTATATTTGTGATTTTTAGTTTCAATTTTTCAATCGACTCCCCAATAATGTTATAGTGATCACTTCGGCAACCCCTGGTGTAGAAGGATAATTGAAGATGCTACTTTCTAAGATGAGTGAAAGAGATAGGAAGATTGCCAGGTGATACACCCAAAGATCATATGAAACTTTGCTGATGAAAAGAAGGATTATCCAACATTGTACTGTACCATTCTTGTTTTCCAGTACTAAAGAATACAACATTGTCAAAATCCATTATTTTGTGCTTTGAGGTATCTCTCCCATATAATTCTTGTCATTTCCCATCTCTCTCGCTCTTATTTGTTTCCTGTAGTTTTAATTAATATAGGTTAAGAAATCATGGGTTTAATGTTTGTCATGATTATTTACAATTGTAACAAGAATCACAAATTTAATTTCTTTTTATATGGCAACCTGACTAAATTAGATTAACTTGTGTCATATAGTATAATCTTAGTCTCTTAGTGAAAACAACAAATGTGTTAAATTAATAATTAACATTTTGTTACTATATTAATTATCATACCTTTTCTTCTGTAACTAAGCTGTAATTTAGGTACATTAAATTTGGTAGCACTGCAATTGTATGAAGTTCAAAGAAATTTTCCTTAGAAATTGGATTCTCTTCAAGATTAAGACAGCGTAGTTTTTTAAACTGTTTTAAATATAGAACCTGAAATACAAATATAAATGTATACAATGATATAAAAATAAAGATTTTAAACAAAAGATGATAATACAAATAAATTACCTAAATTCATATAAATTTTAACTTATTTTATTTTTTCACACATTCAGAATATAAATTTTTTTATATTATATAACACAATTTAAATAATAACTCTAGATAAAAAATTAGATGAAAACATAGGCTATCTTCATTCATTAATTTATTGTATATGATTATACTATTATTTTCTTTTTCATCAAGTTTTAAAACATGATTTAATGAAACAATGTGGAAAACATATGTTAATTAAAAATTCATTATTGAAATAATTTTCAAAAGTAATAATGAAATCTTTACATGCAAGTGTAAAATTGCAATATTTTATTAATGTAAACATAACTATATATTTAACAATGATTTCCTGAAGTGTGACAAATACAAATACAAATAACAATAGTTAAAACACACAAAAAAAAAATAAAAAAAATACAAAATGGATAATTATAAAAAATGTGTGCAGGAAAAACCGTGATAGTAGGTGAATATATCTGTGGTAAACAAAAAATTTGTCATGGTTTTTTTAAAGATGTTCTTTATATATTTAAACAAAAGAAAAGCTGCTGGATGAGATCACAATCACAAGTTAAAATCAATAGATAATCTACATCTTCATATAACCTATACTTACCTTCTAATTGACTTTTAAACATATACTCTGCAAATTATCAGCACAAAATTACATTATTGTTTCAATGTCTAAACTGGAAATTTTAGTTAATTATAGATACAGATTTCATATTGTTCAAGTTCAAAAGAAAAATAAAAAAAATATAATATATTCATGAAATTACAAAAAGAAATTCAAAACAAAAAATCAGTAATATATAAAAATTTTTTTTCAGGAAGCAAGCTTTTTGCTTCTTGTATGTAATTTTCTGTTTCTCATAAGCCAGTTATTCTTAAACTGTGTTTCATGCATCCTTAGTAGTCTGAGTACAATTTTTTGAATACCAACAGAAAATCCTCAAAAGATAATATCATAAAAGAAATATGTACATAAAAATTAAAAATACTATCGTTCTATTTCCATTTCATATATAATCATCCTAAACAACACACACAAAATATTGACAAAAATCTAACTAGGTTTGCCCTCACAGGCCGGTGACCTTGCTCTACTCTCCTTGTAGACTTATACAATGTCAAAGTTCACAATGTTATCTCCAGTCACAGATCAAATTTTAAAATGCTGTTTACATCATGATCTCAATCAAGATGGATTCCATTTGCATGTAAAATATGATTTAAATCAGTCAGATGGTTTTGGAGGAGTAAACTGTACAAACACCAAAGTCATCATTAAGAGAGTTTTGCTTTATTACACTCAAAAAAGATAAATATGGAAGGTCTGTTACAGTTTGTCAATCTTTCTCATTACAAAAAAGTCCACAAATATAGCTTATAGTATGTAATGAAGATTTTACTGTACTGTAAAATAGAAGTTATTTATATATAAAATATGTAAATTAATCTTACTTAAAATCAATAAACTTACATTATTAAAATCACACAAAAGATTGTTTCCAACAGAAAATAACTGAAGATTAACTAATTTTTCCATGTTTTTTAATTTGATAATTTTATTTGCAAATAATGATAAATCTTCTAATTTTTCAAGTTTATCCAAGCCTTTAATGTCTTCAATATTGTTGAAGGATAAATCTATTAAATTGTATTTAAATATTCTTAAATTATATTGATATTTCTACATGTAAAATAATTTTGGTTTCTTACCTAATCTAATTAAATGAACCAATAAGTCTAATCCTTCAATTTCTTCAATAAGGTTATCAGATAAAATTAATTCTTTGAGATTAATTAATGGCCATAAATATTCTATTGTTAATATACCTAAAATTAAAAAAAATGTATTTAAACAGATAATATTCTTTACATTAAAAAATATATAATTAATTAAACACACTATTATTAATCAAAATATTTATTTATAGCAAAAATTACATTTATTTTAAATAAATATTTTTCTTTTTACTGATTTCAATACAATAATAAACAATTAAGAAATTGTTATGAAATTTTATTTGATCCCTAATATGACTTATTAAACCACAGGATGGGTCAAAAGTCACTTAATACCCTTATAAACTGAGTTGGGTAGAAATTTCAGTAAGATAGAAAACCATTGATGATGATATGCCTTGGGGCTTTCGTTTTTATGTATATCAGTTGGATGATTGCCATCTTGAATTAATTTCAGAATGTTTAAATGGGAATGAAGTAATGCAATGTATGAAGTGAGGCTAGAATTTCAAGAAAAAAGCAATGGTGCACTTGTTTTCCACCTAACTTTTATCTGGGAAAAGTTATGAAAAAATGAATCTAACCAACCAACTTTTTCTTTTCCAGATGTGTTAAACAATGCTGAGATGTCTCTGACATACATGCAATAAATCCAGGTCATCCTGATGTCTAGGGAGAACAGTTTATCAATGCCCAGATTATGGCTTATCTTTGACTGATCCAGTCTTTAGCATCGTGGCTAAAATCCATATGTGGCACATTTCAATGCTAGGCGGAATTGGTCTGGGTTGCGTTCTACCTTGTGTTCTGCGTCATTTGTTTATTGGTCAAGATTAACTGAGAAATTGATCCAGGCGAATAATTTACTTTATTTGAATCAGCCACGTGATATTTACAATAGTGTCAAGATATAATACAAATCCAAGAATGGCACAGCTGTCGACTCCAAAAGGTTAATTAACATAAAGTGAAAAGCTGTCTCTCCCCATACTCTGTGGTGACGTCCTCTGACTACAAGTCTAACAGAATTAAAACTGTACAATAAAGTTAATGATGTTCACTGATAATAATCAAACTCTGATCAAAAGCATTTCTTCAGATAAACAATATTTATAACCTGAATTTTACAAGCTTTAATTTTATCCCATATAAATTTTTGTTGTGTAAAATAATCAATTATACAATAAACAATTTTTGCATTTTTTTCTCTTTCATTTGTTTATAGATTTAAGTAACGTTATATGATTACAGTCCAGAATTGCTCAGCTGAGTTAAATTACAAACTTACTACACCTGTGCATTTGCTGAATTTTTTTAACAAACCAGGTTTGTTTAATAAAAAATTCTCTCAGCAAATGCATGGGTGTTGTAGTAAGTTTGTAAGTTATATGATTATTTTGATTTCAGTAAATTTATGTTATTGTATGCATATTATTTCATGTAATTACACAATATTACAGTATAATTAAAAAATATATTATTACTGGAAAAATAAATGAAGTAAAGGTGGATATTTTTCAAAAGAATTAAATTTAAAATAAATAATATATTACTAACTTTTACATTCTAATTGTAGAACTGTTATTTTTGTAAAGTCAATTCCTTCCTCACATAAAATTTTTCTTTCTTCAATGGATTTAGGAAATTGATCTAATATTGCATCAGTCAACATCTTTTTATCAATAACAGATGGCATATTTTCAAACTAAATAAATTAAATAGTCTTATAAATTAGTCTTTATAATTCAAACAGAATCTGTAATTAATAAAAATATATTTTTTAATATATTAATTAAAAAAAGCCATAAAATGCATTATGGCTTCAATAAAATGTATTGTGTTTGATTTTAAGTCAAATATAATATATTTTATTGGAAAAAGAAACAAAATGACCAAAATTTTATTAGAAAATGACAAAAAAGAAATAATTTAAAATACTATACTATTTTTGGTATATTTTATAATTTCCACGTTACAGAAAACATACAGGTATCCCTTGATTAATCCCTCAATGCCATCAAAATTGCATTAATCAAAATATGATATCTATGTTAAGTAAAGACAGCTGATAAAGCCGTGTTAATTAAAACTTCTGCTGCATATATAAAAAGATTGTCGCAATTTAATTTTTCATGTTAATCAAATCCCGCATTAAGCAAGGGATACTTGTATACTTTAAATTTATTATATCTATAAATTTTTATATAAAATTTAAAAAATGTGGTTCATATGAATGAAAAATTAATGTTTTTTTTTCTTTAAATACTAAATTGATTTTTGTGAAAAATTATAAAGAAAATTCAGAAAGGACATTGAGGAAAATTCTATCAATATCCATAATTTACTATGACTAAGCTGACCATACATACCATTTTGAATGGGACAGTACCATTTTTTCCCTCTGTTCTGGCCATCCTGTCATTTTAGTAAAATTTTCATTTTTGTCCCATTTTTTGAAAATCAAAAATCTTAGCTCTCTAGTTTATATATTATATTCTGAACTCGTGATTTGTTAGAAAATGTGTATAGATCAATGGATATAGTGAAAAAAACTCTAAGACTACGATGTACTCATCATCCATTATGAGTAGTCTAATTGTTTTATACACACAGCCTCTTGCTATCTTTTAATGTTCTTATATAAACTTAAGTGAAAAAACTAAATTTTTAAATATGTTTTAAGTTTAACTTATTGCATTAAAAATGCACTTATGATAGTGATTAATAGTTAACATAATATGTGATATTACAAGGATCATTCTCCTTCCCTCACTTTGTCATATTCTAAATTACCTCCTCTCGTATGGACAGTCCTAGCATTCTTTAAATCTTTCACAATTTAATATGTGAACTTTAAAGTTAATGAAATTTGCAAAATTTCTCAAAATTTACTTTTTAATCTGTAAATGATTTCATATTTAGACTCAACAAAATTAATCTATGTTGTATCATATATACAGTAAACAGTCTATATTGAATAGGTACCAATTACTCATTTGCTGTCAGTTGCACATGCCATTTCTGATATTTGAAGCAAACTATCAATTATTTATTTATTCTTTTCAAGTATTGTTACTACATATAAACTATGTCATGCTTGATATATAAATGCCAATAGTTGAATAACCAAAGTGGTTAAGGTATCAGACTACTGCTCTGGGACTTTGGACAATTCTGAGTGAACAACTCTAGAAAATTTACATATTAGTCTGTCAATCAATCCCTGTCCCATTGTAGATCTGGAGAAACCCAAGTATAAAAAAAACTCTCTTAGAGCCAAGGGTATATATATTTTTACTCTTTCTGCTTTTATATATACCATAAATATCTTAATAGTGGTATAACATAGGTATGACCTTATTTATCATGCAGAAAACAAAAAAATAGAAAGATAGAAAGGTTGCTAATGATCTTAGCCAAAATTAATATACTGATTTTTCCCAATGAAATATTAAAATAAAATATTTGTTTAATAAATTTTTAAAATATTGCATAATGTAGATAATTTGCTATTGAATGTGAAATGCAAAGCTATGTAAGTTAATTAACTAGAAACTCGATATATTTTTAGGTTTGAATTCTTCTGTTCTCTTTTTGAAAAATAATATTTGTTTTGTTATTTTTCATGAAGTTGAACATCTTTTCAAAACTATATCATGATAAAATAGACAAACGGAAAAAAAACCTAAAAGTGGAATGATTTGCTACATAAATTATTATTATTATTATTATGTATTATGTTCCAGAAACCTGTCTAATATAGAAACAAAACTTTTTCAGAAACAATTGCCTAACAATCGAATGAAGTGGAATTTTCTACCATAACAGTAGTTAAATTCTAACAGACACAGAACCAATTTCTGGTGCATATAATACAAAAAACGAACACTACATGAATGTTTTCCAATTCCCGAGTTGTTTGGGTGTGACAGAATAGAACCCTATGGAACATTATTGGAACAAATGTCTATTTGTTAAATTTGACTAATATATGAGATTTTGGTGAAACGTAAGGATGGCAACACTTAAGGTTGAGCATTCTGGGTTGTGTTCAGTAATGCAGAATTCTTGCTAAGTCTAGTTATGCTGCAACGTTGAACTCATTTCTAACTACTGCTTGACTCCTCCCATCGCTAGAATTCTAGCTAGTTCAGTCAGCTTCTTTCATCTATGCTAATTTCTACTAGTGATGTCATTGTTTTTGTCTTGTACTATTTGTTACAACAAAAGTTACCTCCATCTTATCTATAGGCTGAGTGGCAGAAAATGTACTTTTAAAATTCAAACTTGCAAATATCTTTGGCAAATATTAGATTTGTTCCAACACAAGTCCTTAAAACTGGCATTCACATTGTTCAGTTCTTGGCTGTAAAATGACATTGCGCATGCCGCATACGATTTCAAATTCAAACCAGTTAGGAACTTGTGTTAGAACACACCTATTGAAAAACGAATGTGACAGTTTCAGTTTAAAAGTTTATAATTTCTATTTTAATTATTTAATATGACAACTGAAGAAATTGAAAGCTCTAAAAAAGAGGAAGCGAACTTGTAAATTTAATAAAGATTGGCTGACACAAAACGAATTTCAAAAACGGTTACCACCTGTTCAAGGCAGTGTTGCCAATTTACGTATATAAATTTTTAACCCTGTCCGGATCAGCAATTTTGAAAAGGTGGCAGCACTAACGTGATAGGAACAAAACAAAATTTTGGGGAATTTGGGACAAACTGAAAAAATTTTTTTATAAAAATATCGAAAAAATGACCTACAGGAATGTTGCCACGTTTAAAGTCTAAGTGCGCCATCTATAATTTGCTTCTTCCAATAGATTTAAAAATTAGTTTCGTATTAATTAAACTCTTATGAATTTTTTGATGTGATGAAACATAAAAAAAAAATATATTCTTGCATATTGTTCGTGTCTTAATTATATCTCATTAGACCATTTATCATTATTTTGTGTTAATTTTTTACAACTAAATTCAATTCAGTAATATAAAAAAATAAAATATTTATCTTATGCGGCGTACGTAAAATCAAAATTAAAATTTAATATATTAGCATATTAATTTTTATCTTAATTTTTATGAGTAATAATAATAATGATAATAATCTATTTATAAAATTTTATATACTTATAAATGCAGTATATAAACGGCCGGATGGCCGAGCGATCGAGGTGGCAGCCTACCGCTCTGGGGGACCCGGGATCGGATCCGAACGGGGTCGAAAAATCCACAGAAATTTTTCGGGTGTGGTCCGTCCGGATCGCATATGTCGGGCCCCGTCCCTCACCACCCATTCACCCCATTGTGGGCCTGGCCGAACCCACAATGGGCTTGCTAGGGCTTGCACAATGGGCTTTTACTCTTCTCGAGAAGAGTAAAAAAATCGTTATAAAGTTTCTAAACAAACGAGCGAAGCCCTCTTAGAACGTGTATATATTCATTTTCGATCGTCGACAAATTCGTCTTAAACGTAGAAAAAGTATTTAATGGATTTATCGTTTACAAACCAAATGTTAAAGTACTTTCGCGTATGTAAATAGCAACTTCATTAGTTTAAGGGCTTGTACACATTAGGCGTTTTGCGTTGCGTTAAACGCGCGTTAGCAGCGTACACACCGAGCGTTAGCTCGGCGTTCGACGGCCGTTTAGTGGAGCGTTAGCACTGGCTCAGTTTGGAAATGGACGTGAAAGTAATTGCTTGTGTGTGCCTCTTCCATCGTCGCTATAAAAGACGATGGCAGAGGCAAAGAGAATTTTGGGTGCACTCAATATTACGAGATAGACTGACGCATGGAATGTTTCTGACCGTAAATAATTAAAAATATAAAAAGTTTATATAACAAAATCTCATAACAGATGGCGTTACACACAATTTTATTTATTATAATATAATTAAAAGTATAAAAGTTATTTTCTAAATAAAATCTCACAACAGCCGAGAAAGTTACGCAACTCATTGCTATTGATAGATTTTCTTAAAAAACAGTTACATTTCTTGAAACGAACGATTTTTTTTTCAGTTTGAATATAGAAAGATCTATATTTGATTATTTCGTGTAAAAATACATACATTATATTTTCTATCGGTCAGGTGAATTCATAAAATTTGCTTATTTAATATACTAATTAACGTTTACGTAACTAAACTATAACACGCATATTTAATATAACCGATGACGTCAGGTAAGCGCTCTTAAAATGGCGTCGGATAAACGAAATATTAAGAAATTCAGTAAAAATTGCGCTGTTGGTCAATCGGAAACTTGGTCGGAAAATACCGGACGAAGGAGAAGGAGGATTTCTTCTAGTTTTGGGGGTGGCGAAGTAAAGATGTCGTTCGATTTTAGAAAATGTCACTTCTAACCCCTTGTGGAGAATGGAAACCTAAGGCGGAGGGCGGTAGGGAGAGTCTCGATTTCAATCCGTCGTCACTCGGGGGATAGAAACGTGAAAAATGCAGATATTTAGCCATAAAATTCAAAAATAATCCATGACGTCAATCGCATTCGAATTCGTTGCGAGCTTTCTAATCTCGCAACAATTGCCGTTTCTATGGAAATGCGTATTGTTGCAACACGATTTTGCGTCACTTTGCACGTTTTTCGCTTGCTGGACGGACGTGTGCGCTCTTTGCTCTTGTTTCTGCTGTGTTTTTTGCCTTTTTTCAGTGTTTTTTGCCTTTTTTACGTGGTTTTAAGACTTGTGGACTCAGACATTACACCAAGTAAGATTTTAATTAGAATTTAGCTAGCTGTAAGATTTTATTTTCGTTTCGTTTAGTCCAACTTTCGGAGACGACATCGGCCGACTCGGACTTTGCATATTTGCGTTTAAATCTGCCGTCGCTTGTGTTTTTCGTTTGAATTACCATCCGAAACGCACCTCTTTCGACTTTTAAACGAGCCGCCACATTGGAAAGCGACCGAAGCGCCGAAAACGATGGACGCAAAGGATTAAGTATTTGTTCATTGGTTTATTTTCGTAATTAATTAATTTAGATTATATTTTATAAACACGGTGAAAGAATAAGGATTATTTGCAAATATCTTATTTATAGAAATTCGATTAAAACTTATTTAATACTAACTCTAAATACGAATTGCGTATCGTAATTTTAACTAAAATATACACTCGAAACCGGATGGACCGAAGGATACACGGAGACCGCATTCCGAAGCATGACACGTTCCTTCGACACATCCGGGACGTCAAAACTTTCTCCCTTTCACCTCCGACTTCTCCATTGAATCTACGTATTAGTTACAACGCTTTTCAATGGCTTACTTTGCGAGAATTAAATTGTCTGCAGCTGTGCGACTTAAAACACAATTTAATACACATAATAGTTATCTATACAGACTGAACACAAAAGAATTCTTTTCCTTAAGCTGTTTGTCTCTTTCCACAACGCGATCTTTTCTGAGTGTAGTCCATCTTCCACACTTACGTAACCCTCTGCAAATGCTTTGTGCCACTTAAACGTTCGTGTCCCGGCTGCGGGCACGTCTTGTATTTTCGTCGACTCTCGTACGGAATTTCTTCGCATGAAACTCTCTTAAATGCCATCGTTGCGGTTAGGTGACGCACGTTAGGGTAAATTGCTCTAGAACGAAACACTCATTATGACTTGGGCTCGAGATCGAGTACCAGTGCCTTTTCGCATGGCTAGTTTGCTGTCTTGTCNAATTGTAGTTTTAAGTCTTCACCCATTTGAATATCGAAATTGGAACATTTAAAACAAATTTAAAGTATTTCATTTTGTTGTTTTTGTTCCGAGCAGTTAATTAATTAATGAGTAATTTTGTCGATTCGTACCGTTTACAACATTTATCAAAGAAACGATGTCTGTTTTTATCTAAACTTTTCCACAAACAAAGCTACCACTCGAATTGAAAAGTCCTCTAAACCTGCTGTCGAGTGAGTCTAGAAAATAGGTCAAATAACTTGTTTCTAATCGCTGTCTACAAGACAGCGATTAGAAACAAGTTATTTGACCTATTTCTGACGTCACGAAGAAATAATCCGATTGGCCCAACGACTCCTAAAACAGGGGAGTAATAGCGAAGTAAGTAAGAGCCAATGTGTAAACATCGTTTAATGTAAACTCTGTCTCTGCAATCGGCCGTTTAAAAGGTTTAAGTTTAAATTATTTAAGAGAAGAATTTAATAAAGGTATAGTTTTGTACATGGATTATACAAGATTTGTTAATGAATAATAATGACTTTTTTAAAATGCCACATAGATTTATGATTGTGAAGTAATTTAATAAAACATCTTATTTTTAATTTCAATTTTTCAGCAATTAAAAAAGTTATTTAACTGTTAATTAGAAAAAATAACTGACTAAAAAGTCAAAGAAGGAATAGCATATTTGCATATTAAGTCGTATTCTGTTTTATTTTGTCAATGTGCTGTACTGTTGGGGAATTTGTACAAAGTTGGTTAAGGAATATCGTGGAATTTAAAACAGTAATTCGAGTAGGAACTGTGTATATACTTTATTTGGGCCTTCTGCTTCTTTAATTATTTTAATGTTAATAAGTACAGCAAGAATTAATTACGTTTATTTAATTAACGTAAAAACAAAACATGAAAGTGGAGCAATTTTCATTTTTTTTTTATTGATTTCATCAATATATTTTATTGTGGATAAAACTACATTGATTTGTGACAAATTCGAGTTTCATTTTCCTTCTCTCAGGCTATACGTAGAAAGATTATTTAAGAAAAGGAGACAAATTTCATTATGAAATTCATCTTACTATTTCCGAAGAACTACTTTTTTTAATGCTCTTTCTGCTCTGTGGGCACTAAGAGGGCCTCTTATAGCAGGCCCATTATGGGTTTGGCAGGCCCACAATGGGGCGACCGGGTGGTGAGGGACGGGACCCGACATATCCAAACGGACTACCCCCCGAAAAATTCCTGGGGATTCGATTCCGGGTCCCCCAGAGCGGTAGACTGCCACCTTGACTGCTCGGTCATCCGGCTATTCGGAAGAGCTACTTTGCAAAGTTCGATAAGATACTGTACATCTACTTAAATTTTTTCAATTTTCATGAATTTCTACGTTTTTAATAATTATATAATATAATCAGTATTATGATTATTATTGCGTTTTCTAATTTTATTCGAATAAAATTATGATTAATTAATGAAAAATCAAATTATATTAGTAATTATAATATCGAGTGTTTTCCGTTTTAAATGTTCAAATTTATATAATATTTACAATTATAGTTTAATCAGGCAGGTATGATATTTTTATTCACAAGTCACTAATAAAATCTTCAGTACTGCTTGCTATTATCATCAAAACTACTTTTAAATAATGATTATTGATTAGAATAGATAATTATTTTTAAAATACAGTACTGTATTCAACTGAGCAGAAAAGAAATTTTGACAGTTAAGAACAACTACTGCATAAACTTAAAGATTTAATAATTAATATATATATTAATTAGGCTTAAATATGTGTATCATATTATTTATAAGGATCCAGGTTCGAGTTCGGGTCGACTCAGAAGTTTCATCTATGGATTGAATCGGGTATATCTCACTTAGTCCGTCATTCAATTCGGATGCCCCGGTTTTTGGGCCTGAACCCACGATGAGTATGCAAAAAACGGCGTTTTCAGTGCTCGCAAAGAGGAAACAATTAAAATTAATTAAAAAATACTATATATTTAGCACTCATGTTCAAAATTTCGGAAAAAATGTCGGTCATTAAATATTTAAA